CAATTATGTAGGGAGAAAAAAAAAAACTTTAAAGTGGTTCAAATATTGACTTATCTTAAGATATAGTTTATACTCTTTATTTGGTACAGAAATGCAAAACTCACCCTTCATCCAGTCTCAGACTCACAGTCAAATGTTTGCCTATAAAAAGAGAAAAACATATGTAAGGGGGAAAAACAAAAACTTTAAAGTGGTTCAAATATTGACTTATCTTAAGATATAGTTTATACTCTTTATTTGGTACAGAAATGCAAAACTTACCCCTCATCCAGTCTCAGACTCGCACACAAACAATGCCTGTAAATTGAAAAAAATACAAAATAAAATTATGTAGGGAGAAAAAAAAAAAACTTTAAAGTGGTTCAAATATTGACTTATCTTAAGATATAGTAAGCCTGCTCAGCAAAGCCAACTGTTAACCCACTTTAACGGTAAAATACACCTATAATCGTTCAAATTGCCCATTTTAACGATGTTTAACAGGTGGAGAAACAAATCTGTGTCAAATCTCAAACGTTACATTACAATCTGCAGTGCTAATGCAGCACAGCACAGCGGCCACCGTATCAGAAATGCAAAACTTGAAAGGTAAACACAGTTCGGAAAACAATGACAGAACAGGCGCCAGCCCAACGGACAGCTTCCTAATCCTCAAATTCATGAGTTGTTCGTCTGAAATTCCTCCGCGATTTAGTTAGTTCGCTGTATAGTCTGCTTAAACTGACTTAAAAAATCAAATCTATTTTTATGAGTTAAAGTAACTTAAAAACATAAGTTGTCATGGCTTTTTCATCATATCATTCTTTACAGTGCAGCCTTATGAGGATTGTCAAGCAAAATCGATTCAAGAATTTGAGTGAACTTCACAATAATTTTTTGAGATAGTGAATTGGTGGGTTTTTGTTAAATGTGAGCCAAAATCATCACAATTAAAAGAACCAAAGACTTAAACTACTTCAGTCTGTGTGCATTGAATTAATTTAATACACAAGTTTCACAATTTGAGTTGAATTACTGAAATAAATGAACTTTTCCACGACATTCTAATTTATTGAGATGCACCTGTACATACATAAATCCCTCAGGATCTTCTAAGTCTGTTGGAGCTTACTTCTAGTCGTTTTGACTAATCTAGTCCAAGTCCAGTGATATTTTCAGCATGAATTTGACAGATCCATTTGTGCCTTGGTGCAAAGCATTTTTTGGAGAAACTGCCTGTGCAGAATCCCTCAGGCACAGTAGTAATGCTTCATGAAGAATTGACTGTGCTTGCTATATGAAAAATCATATTCTCAAATCATAATCTGATCCGATATTTACACGGGTCCTACTTCTTGCCTTATCGTTCCGCAGACGTTTTCCTCTTTTGTTTTTTATCCGCCATCTCTCTCTTTCTGTCGCTCGGCTCGGCTAATGTCCGTCCCATGCACTGAACTCTCTCTCCTACGGGTCCTACTTCTTTGCCTTATCGTTCCGCAGACGTTTTCCTCTTTTGTTTTTTTATCCGCCATCTCTATCTTTCTGTCGCTCGGCTCGGCTAATGTCCGTCCCATGCACTGAAAGCTCTCTCCTCCACATCACGAGTAGACACGCCCCTTATTGCTGATTGGCTACAAGTTTGTTTTGCTATTCGGCCCGAATCAGTTTTCTAAAGTGTTTTTGAAAAATCACATACCCTGCCTTTAAGCTAAGAGTAAGGGCGGGGTTGACCTCGTTGCTAAGGATGATGTCAGCATGCTTACTAACTATGCACACAGTGATTGGCTGATAAGGGAGGGGTCTCTGTCAAGAAATTTATTCATAGAATTATTGTAGAGCGCGATATGTTATGTTGCCATATTCAAATAAAGGTTTAAAAATAAAAATGTTAATTGCCACATTCAAATAAAGATTTTAAAATGCAGACTAAGTGTCTCTAATTAAACAAGTATATGTTCAGCTAATTGTCAGCCTCTTACATGTGCTTCTCGTAAACAGTTAGCGGATATGCATATAAACAGCAGAGTAGAATAATCATGGCAGATAGTAAGACATTCAAACGTAAAAGAAAACCAAGAACAGCGGTTACTTCTTACCCAACTGGTTAATGAAAACAAGAATATAATCAAAGGAAAATTTGGAGTTGGGATAACCTCCAAAACCAAAGGCAATACCTCATTATCTTCAAATTTTTCTAAAATGTTTATGTTTCAAGGCAGATTGCTGGCAACAGCTTTTTTAGAATAGTTTGTGATTTGGTCTTAGTGACTTAGGAGTCCTCTTCACTACTCCTCTAACGTTTCACAGATTTAGGAGATAGTTTTAGTGCTCAACGCTTTTTGAAATACTCTTAGAGCAAAAATTTAGGAGTCCTAAATTTAGGACTGACATGCTCATTATTTTTAAGATTTTCTCTTACATCGGCGAGTTATGAGCTACTTTTAGCCTTAAAGGGGTCATATGATGCGATTTCAAGTTTTCCTTTCTCTTTGGAGTGTTACAAGCTGATTGTGCATAGATAAGATCCCTGAAGTTGCAAAGACTAAAGTCTCAAAACCAAAGAGATATTCTTTATCAAAGTTAAGACTCTGCCACGCCCCCCTAAAACGGCTCATTCTAACACGCCCCCACATATCTACCCCACTATGTGGAAATATTTGCATAATCCCGCCGCAAATGTGCACGCAAAGAAAGAAGGCATGGTGTCAGTAACCGCAGTTAGTGTTGAAGCAGCCATGTC